CATATAAAATGAACAATAACATCAGTGAGGAATGTATACCTCAGAACAATCAACTACATGAGACCTAAAGGGCAGCTTTTGCCCGAAAGCAAAGTTCAGGAGGACGGTACGGGAAGGAAAGCTGGGTAAATGGATATGGGGAACCCAGGAAGGAAGGGGGAAGAGTGGTAACACATTCAGGGGTTTGCAACCAATGTCACGAAACAAACTGTGTATAAATCGTTGAAAGAGAAAGTAATTTGCTCTGTAAACTCTCGCCTAAACAATAAAATGTTCAAAAAAAGAAAGAAAGAGCAGAGCTTCGGAGAATAGAGATAATTTTGGAGGAAGAATACAAAACTTTGCTAAATTGTCTTGGCTATATATTGCGTTAGGAGCCCTGGTGATGCAGTGGTTAAATGCTCGGCTGCTAACCTAAAGGTTGGCGGTTCAAGGCCACCAGCCTCTCTGTGGGAGAAAGATGTGGCAGTCTGCTTCCATAAAGAAGCAGAAGATCAAATACAGCCTTGGAAACCCTATGGGGCAGTTCCACTCTGTCCTATAGGGTCACTATGAGTCAGAATCTACTCAATGGCAAAGGGTTTTTTTATATGTGTTGCTTAATTATCATTCTTAATGGCTGTGGGAAAAGTGAACAGGGAGAGACGCAGAGGTAGGTGGGCTCACTTGCACGGAGCCCTTCAGTGAACTTAAAGGTTTTAAAAAGAATGCGAAAAGGAGCCCTTGTTTGAAGGACCATGCTCAACCAGACACGTGACACTCACATTCTTTCTCTTCATAACATTGTTACCGAATATTAACTACTGTTTTAAATCAAACAAGTTAACAGTACTGAGATAAATCTGGAAGAATGCACTAGAGTAGAAAGAATAGGGGAGATCACAAGGCAAGAACAAACTACACAGCTCCCAGCCACACCACTGACTCCCTCTGACCTTGAGTAAGGAAGAGTCTTCACTCCTCTTTTCTCCATCTACCAACAGATTTGATCTGCTGGCAACTGGTGCTCTATATATTGCGACATGGTTCTTTTTTTCAAGAGATATAATTTACTTACCACATAATTCACTACTTTAAAGTGTACAATTCAGTGGTATATTACAAAATTGTGTGACCTTCACCACTATCTAATTCTGGAATGTTTCACCACTGCAAAAAGAAACCCCATGCCTTGCATCCAACCTCTGGCAACTGCTAGTCTACCTTCTGTCTCTATAGATTTGCCTACTGTGGACATTTTGTATAAATGGAATCATGAAATATGTGACATTTTGTGTCTGGCTTCTTTCACTTATTATAATGTCTTCAAGGTTCATCCGTGTTGTACCATGTATCAGTAAAAAAAAAACCGAATCTGTTGCCATCAAGTGGATTCCAACTCATACTGACCCTATAGGACAGAGTAGAACTGCTCAAAGGGCTTCCAAGGAGTGGCTGATGGATTCGAACTGCTGACCTTTTGGTTAGCAGACTAGCTCTTAACCACTGCACCACCAGGGCTCCAAGTATCTGTACTTCATTCCCTTTTATGGCCAAAGAATATTCCATTGTATAGATATGCCATATTTTGTTATTCCATTCATCAGTTAATAGTCATTTGGGTTTTTTCCACATTTTGGCTATTATACATAATGCTGCTATGAACATCTGTGTATAAGCTTTTGTGTGAACTAAAGCTTTTTATTCTCTTTTATACATAATGCTGCTATGAACATCTGTGTATAAGCTTTTGTGTGAACTAAAGCTTTTTATTCTCTTTTATACATAATGCTGCTATGAACATCTGTGTATAAGCTTTTGTGTGAACTAAAGCTTTTCATTCTCTTGGGCACATATCAAGGAGTGGAATTGCTGAGTCATATTGTAAGTGTGTGTTTACCTTTTTGAGGAACTGCCAACTTTTCCAAAGTGATCGCACCATTTTACATCTTTACCAGCAATGTGTGAGAGTTTCGATTTCTCTACATCTTTGGCAACACTTGTTATTGTCTTTTTTTAAAAAGATTTTATTTTATTTTTTGTCATTGTTGATATTATCTTTTTTATTACAGCCATCCTAGGGAATGTGAAGTGGTATCTCATTGTGGTTTCGATCTGCATTTCCTTGATGGCTAAATATTGAGCATCTTTTCGTCTGCTTATTGGCCATTTATATATCTCTTTGAAGAAATGTCTAATCAATTCCTTTTCCCATATTTCAATTGTGTTATTTGTCTTTTTACTGTTGAGTTGTAAGAGTTCTTTATATATTGTGGATAAAAAAAAAAACCAACCCAGTTGCCTTTGAGTCAATTCTGACTCAGCGACCCTATATGACAGAGTAGAACTGCCCCATAAGGTTTCCAGGGAGTGGCTGGTGGATTTGAATTGCTGACCTTTAGGTTAGCAGCTGAGCTCCTAGCCATTGTACCACCAGGGCTCCATATTGTGGATACTATACTCTTGTTCCCTGGGTGGTGCGATGGTTAACACACTCGACTTCAAACCAAAAGGTTGGAGGTTCAAGTCCACCCAGAGGCACCTTGCAAGAAAGGCCTGATGATCTATTTCTGAAAAATCAGCTGTTGAAGACCCTTGGAGCACAGTTGTACTCTGACACACATGACCATAGACTAATTAAAGATTTAGTCATGAGAGACAATTAGGGAAAAGAAATAAAAAGAGAAAATGTAATTCTCATGAGGCTCTCCTAGATGAGTAGATGAAATTTGAAAAGGTATATGTCTATATTTAATGCTTTCAAAATCAAGGTTGAAAGTAACAGCTATTTGAGACCCCATTTTCTTCATACAGGTTAAACACAGGTTTTGGAGTCAGACAGGACTGAATTCAAATCCTAGCTCTGCTTCTTACTAGCTTGGGACCTAGGACAAGTTACATAATCTCTCTGTGCTTCAGTTTCCTCATCTGTAAAATGGGGTAATGATAATATCTACCACATAAGGTTATTGTGAGGATTGAGTGTGAAATGCTGATCATAGTCCCTGGAAGCTCAACTGATAGTACTTGTGATAATAATTATTTTTATAATGTTCTGCAAAAGTACCCTAATGATTCTTGAATAGTATTAAACTAAAGGCAATTTTCTTCTTTTCCTTTTTTTTTAAGAATTGAAAGAAATTCTATTCTAGCATTTTGGAATAAAAATTTATGTAAAAATGAATCTATTCATTTTATTGCTATATAAGAAAAATGGTATTTATTTATTCAACAGTATTTATTAAATACCTAGTAAACATCAGGCACAGGGATGACAGTGATGGCAGGTTGTGGTTCCTGCCCTCAAGAAGCTGGCAGTCTAGAAGACTGACGAGTCAAGGTGATTGTATGCAATGTAACAAGGGGTATGACAGAAGAATGTACCCAGAGTATGTGATCGAACTATGGCTTCCACAAGTTCCTCTTCTTAGATTTACCCCCTTCTCCTTTGGTTCCAAGGCCACAGAATTGGTCCTTTTTTAAAAAAAAATTAGATGAATTAAGCCATGGAATTTTTTGAAGTTCTAAAGACTGAAATGAAAGCACCTTGAGTTATGGAGTATTTCCTACGGAGCGAAGCCTTCCTACCAGCATAGTCACTTCCAGGGTTTTCGACCTGGATGAGGTTACAGATGTCTACCTGAAGTTCTTTGGTATATTTTTTCTTTGCTCTCCACCTTTCTTTTCTCTCTCTCTTTCCTTCCTCCACCACTTATCTTCTAATTCCCAAAGGAAGAGTGCTTTATGGTTTCTAAGGGTGATTTATAGGTAAAGGCAGAAAATGATTTTTTTTTCCTACAAGTTCCATACAAAAAAAATGAGTATAAACTTTAATGGAAGTTATTGAAAATGCAGATAATTTTAATTCCATTGCATTTTTCCAGAAATCTCAATCATAATCCTCTGACAACCGTTGAAGATTCGTATCTTTTTAAATTGCCAGCATTAAAATATTTGTAAGTATTACAACAATCTCATGGGTCATGAGATGATTTCGATCCTTCATTTTTACTTTTATCAAAGATTAAGTATTTTGCATTTAAGCTAAAAAGTCATCATTTTAATTTGGTGATTGAAAAAAGTTAGTGGCAAAGAAAAGGATTAAGAAAGGATGTATACTGAGGAAGACAGCAACAGGGGAAGACAGCAGTGTCAAAGAACACATATGGACATGGCATATGCAGATAAATGTAGAAACACCATTTATTCAAAAAAGCAAAGAGATTAAGGTGTGCATTATAAACAAGAACAAGGAATCAGGAAAGGAATCAGGAATGAGAAGTGGGATAATGGTTAAAGACTACAGGTTCTACTGTTCTATGCCAACATCATTAATTTGATGATGCAAAGAAACTTAAATTTCTTTCATAAGAGCTTTCTGGAACTATCTTCTATGGCAAATAAACTCAAGCTAGCTTCTTTTACAGAGAAGCCAAAACGGAAGTAATTCCCTGTTCTTAAGTATCTTTTTAAGTACAGAATTTTTGTATTTGGGTTCATATCATGAACGTTTGGGCTTTCTCCTTCAGAGACATGGGAGCAACACAAGTGTCACTTACAACGGTTGAGAATATCCTCAGAATGACGTTCAAGTTGGAAAAACTGTAAGTAGTTTTTTTCTTAGATTTATTTTCACTTAGTTTTTTTTAAAGGTTTTATTATTTTAAAGTCATTTTACTGAGGTCTAATTACATATAATCATATTCACCCTTTTTAAATGTGTATTTCAATGAGTTTTGACAAATGTATACAGTTATGTAACCAGCACCACAATCGAGATTGGAGTATTTCTGTCACCCCAAGAAGCCTCTTGTGCCCCTTTGCCATTAATGCTTTCCTCCTACCACCAGCCCCTGGCAACCACCTATCTCGTTCCTGTCCCTGTTGTTTTGCCTTTTCCAGAAAGTCTTATAAATGAAATCATATAGTATGTAACCTTTAATGTTTGGCTTCTTTCACTTAGCACAATCCTTTTGAGATTTGTTCATGTTGTTGCATCTATCAGTAGTTCATTCCTTTTTATTGCTGAGTTGTATTCCAGTTGTATGGATATACCACAGTTTGTTTATCCATTCATCAGTTGATGTTGAGTTGGGTTGTTTCCACCTTTGGCTATTGTGAATAAAGCTGCTGAAAATACTCACAGGTCTTTGTGTGAACATGTGTTTTCACTTCTTTGAGGTAAATACCTAGGAGAGGGATAGCTGTATCACATGCCAAGTGCCATATTTAACTTTATAAGGAACTGCTAAACAGTTTTCCAAAGTGGCTGACCAATCTGCATTCTCACCAGCAGTATATGAGAATTGCTATTGCTCCGTATTTTACCTGATATTTGTATTTCAGTCTTTTTAAAAAATTTTAGCCTTTTCTGTACATTTCAAAATAAACACTTATTTACAAATAAGATTTTTTTAAAAAAAAAGTAGAGGCAGCTCAGTGCAAATATATAAATACTATTAATACCTATACACTAGTAGGTGTGTAACAGTATCTCATTGTGGATTTAATTTGCATTTCTCTAATAGCTGATGATTTGAGCATCTACTCATATGCTTATTTGCCATTTGTATCTTCTCTAATGAAGTGTCTGTTCAAATCTGTTGCCATTTTTTATTGGGTATTTTTCTTCTGATTATTGAGTTGTAAGAGTGCTTTATATATTCTGGATACATATCCTTTCTCTCAAATATGTGTTTTGTAAATATTTTATCCCAGACTGTGGCTTGTCTTTTCATTCTCTTGACAGTGTCTTTTGAAGAGCAGAAGTTTTCAATTTTGATGAGGTCTAATTTTGGAATTTTTTTTTTTTTTGTATATGGCTTGTGCTTTTTTTGTGTCTTATATGAGAAACGTTTGTATAACCCAAAGTCACAAAGATTTCTCCTGTGTTTTTTTTCCAGAAGTTGTATAGTTGTGTAATTCTTCCAATTAGGTCTATGATCCATTTTGAGTTAATTTTCATATATGGTGTGAGGTAAGGGTCGAGTTTATGTATTTATTTTATTATTATTATTTTTTTGCAGTTAAAAAAATGTTTT